CAATAATTTATCTTAAGTTGTCATCCCTGCTGCTGTCCTATGTTAAAGGATAGGCACCTCCCCGCGTCCCTCACGCCCCCCAATGATACCCCTGAACCTCCTTAAAATTAATGCAGATTTCCAATAGGTTCACAGTTTGAAATGATTTTTTAATGATTGCGTCCATTACTGTTTCAAATATTTATAGGAGAGCATTCTCGTGTTTGTGGTTGTTTTAAAATTATTGTAGTAGCTATAGTCATTCGTTTGACTAGAGATGTATACGGAAGTGCGTATGGGCAGAATGTGTATCGGCGAGAGTCGATGATGATGACTGAGCCGAAGTTGTCCGAAGTTGATTGAAACGGGCGACAAGCCTGGACGAGTCGAGTTCGAGAGTCCTTAGCGAAAGAGTTAAGTTCCTTATGTATTCATATGAATGTTCACGAGAGCAATTCTATATTAACCAAATATATACATATCTAACCTAAGGGTTTCAACGTTATCTGACTACTACGTTATCTATTACATTATATTACGTATTTCTTAATACGACCGAGTTCTGATTTATAACTAAAGAATTTGATCAGAGTTAATATTCAACCTGTATACATATAAATAAAATCACTTTGATAACGTTTCTACCGCACATTAATTTTAAAACCGTCCTTTGAATGCAGAGAAGTGAAATTTTATTTTTGAAACAGTTAGTTAAAAAATACTTTAGATAAATAATATTTTCCAACAAGGAGAAGGAGAGAGATTGAATGTTAAAGTGATAGAACGGTGAAAACTGAACTTACTGTCGCCGAGTTTGGCTTCATCCTCAGGATCGCGACCTCGTAGTAGCCTGGAAATGGCGGAAACACTTGGAGCTGTGGTTCTGTCGCAAATACCCTCTTTTATTAACCGATCACGTATCTCCCATGAGAATATTCCTGGATTATCGCGTTTGTACTCCTCGATCCTGGCCTCGACTTCCGGGGTGGCCACTCGCGGTTTGCTACCACCGATCACTCCTGGCCTGATGCTTCCCGTTTCCTGGTACCGGTTCAAAATTTTCGACACGCACCCATGGGATACCCTCAACTGTCTAGTCAAATAAAAAAAAGAAGAAATAAATACAATATTCTTAAATCTATAAATATATTTTAGTTTGTTGTTAATCAATTTAATATTTTGTTATAACAGAAATCAGACAAATTGTGTAGATTTTTTTACCTGGAAATAACACAGGGCCTGACGCCAGCGGCGGCCATTTCGACGATTTTCAAACGAATGTGATTTGGCAGCGGGCGACCGTTTATGAAGACGCCACCGAGCTGATTGACCCGTCCTTGACCTGGTATCGAACCTAAATCTACAAAAATTATAAAAAGCTCAAAATACAGGGAAATTTTATCCGTTTCAAATGAGAATACAATTTCGATCGAGTAATCTCAAAATAAGATGGATAGTTTTAAGCGAAGGAACATTCACGATTCAATTTGTGATCGTGCAGAATAAAGAGAAACTCTATTTAGCTAACACAAGTTTCACCTCGTCGTTTCCTGTGTTCCACCTTGGCGGCGCGAGCGACAGGAAGAACGAGAGGAAACGGCGGGAAAGAAGTGGCTGGCATAAATAACGATAAGACCAATGAATCTAAAAGGGTTCACGCCGGATTAACAACACTGATACCGTGTAATTTGTCTAATTCACTGTAATCTCTGTTACGCTACCGGCGCGGTGTAACGACCACGTAGACCAACCAACTACTTGCCTTTTCGTTAGTTCCGAGAGCCATAATTCATCGGTTAAAAAAAATTGTACGCTTCCTGGAATAGCGGATTCGTCGATGCGATTGATTAGATGAAGGGAAGATCGGATGAAAATGAAAGGTTTCCCAGATGGATTTAAATTACTGTCTTATATAATCTGTTATCG